ATATATATATATATATATAGATCTGTGTTGCATGTACATAAATCGAAGAGCTTTTTGTTTTTGAATTTGTTGTCACACTTAGGACATGGAGCTGCAGGGCAATCGAGGCGATCCCATTTGGGTGAGTACACGATCGAGCCATTGGAGTGGCCCATTCAAATGGAGCTCGATCCAGCAGGGCGTGGAGGTAACCGTCTGCCGGCGATATTCGGCACCCCAGCCCTTGACGAAGGACATGCGAATGGTGCACATGCGCGTTAGCTGATAAACGGCCTCGAATCCCTGCGAGACTGACTGGGATAGCAAGGCGGCAAACTCTTGATTATTGAAGATCTTTAGATTGCAGCCTGGCGGTATTTTGCAGACAGTTGCCGGATGCCAGCCGTAACGCTGATTACAATTGGGACTCTGAACGAATATTGATGAATCGCTCAGGCATTCGGCAAAGACCTCACCGCCAATGTAATAGAGGCGAACACCTTTGCCGATATGGCGACGCGTTTGCTCAACGACCTCGTTGCGATTCACGTTCGAGAGTAGGCCCAAACAGAAGCGCTCCGAATTGGATGGATCGGTAAATCCGTCCACTGTTATTGATGGTTGTGAGGCGTGAAAGGTTTCGCCCACTCGGGTATTTAGTTCATAGTAGGATATGGAGCACCAGAAGGCCGGCTCATGGTACATCACTGGTGCAGCATCGGCGGGCGGTGTTAGCCGCGACATATTCATATTATCATTGGGATCAATTGGATCACCATCCTCGCTCATATAGCCCGGCGGTGGAGTGCCCGTATTGGGTATGCTGCTGCCCACGCTGAGAACGCTGGATTGCGAGTCCATGTTGCAGCTGCCCGGCGGCAAGTTCTGGCCGACTCCTACCACGCTGCCAAAGGATAGTGGCGAGTGTTGCTGTTGCAGCTGCTGATGCTGCTGTTGCTGCTGTTGCTGATAGCCACCGGCACCCGTTGCCGTTGAGTTGATAGTGGTGTTGCTGCTGCTGTTGCTGCTGCTGCCACCCAATTCCATATACTGTGGCGGACTGAGCGAGGCGCTGCGTATTATTGCAGCATTGTACTCCGTATTATTTGGTATCTGATGTGTGTGATTGTCCAATGGATAGTCGACTATGGAGTCGGGGGGCGTTGGCAGCGACTTGGGCACTAATATCGACAGCTCTATCTTCTTGTAGTGATACGGATTGATGCAGATATCGTCCTTTCGCAAATGGAACGCGTACTCGCAGTGATCGAGCGGCTTTAGTTCATTCTGCGATTGGAGATCGGGCCAGCGCCACAATCGGCAATAGATGACGTGCGGTAAACCCTTGCGTAGGCTCTCGCCAGTGGCAGCGGGTTTGCTGCGCGGCACTGTCACACACCGGGTGTTGCAATTCTGCGTGGATATGGCTCGCTCTAGTTCCTCAATCTGTGAATTCTTTTTGATCTTTTTCACCAAGTTCCTGACGGCTTTCTCGGACCACTTGCCCTCGACACTATTGTCCTCGTTGCCCTTTTTGAGTGCTAACAAACGTTTAACCACTTGCGGAGTGAATGACAACATCTCACGAACAGTGGACACTCAACCGCGCCCCCCTCCCCCGCACACGCGTACAACACAAAGCCGGCTTAACGCTGAATAAGCGCACCTGCCAACACACCTCCTCGGCTCCAGAAGCTACTTTTTAGCTTTTATATTCCAATGCTTTTTCCGTCTAGTCCTACTGTCGCTGAGCTGTTCACAGTTTACAGTTGCAATTGATACGTCCAGCGGTTAACGTTTATCAACACTGGTAATTTGCTTATGTCTGACGTTTTGTTTTGCTGTTCTCGATTCTTTGCAGCGTCACTTTATTGTTGTTGTTATGCTTCTTGTTTGTTGTCAGCGTTTCTAAAAAAAAATGTTTATAACAGTTAGTTTTCTTTTTCTCTATCTCCTTCTCACTTTGAATCTATGCGTGTGTACGTACATATGTATCTATATTTGTGCGAGTTTGCGTGCTGCTAAAATAATTAAAAGTTGATAATTTGCATGCATGTGTGTGTATATGTGCGATTTTGTCTACTATGACTTCCCCACAGCAAGCTTGATAAAAAGAAAAAAATCATGAGCCCATATAGTGATGTTTGTGATAATTACGCATCTGTTCGAGTATGTGTAAAAGTCAGAGCTGTAGCTATAACTGTTACTATATATGTATGTACATACATATATATATATGTATATAGTATATGCATATACATACATGCAAGGGGTATACTCGTGTATAATCAATCCGTCTATTCCTGTTCGTTCGTTATCAATAACAACTAGAGCAGCTGACGGCGATGTAGCTGTGCGAGATAGGTGTCTGCCTAAGGTGTATGTAAAGCTCTGTGCAAAGCATTTCATGGGGGCGTTTTATGCCAAGGTCACTTGTCTGCAAAGGCAGACGCAGCTACAATGAGCACACAAACACATATATGCAAATACATACATATTCGTATAGGTAGCTCCAACCCAGATACATATGTATATGTAAAACACAAAATCCCTATGACAAATACTATTCATTGCATCCATAGGATAATTACAACACTAAATCAATACACATTTATGTATATACATACATGAATAGATATAAGCACACACAAATATATACATAAATGATTTGCAGACTATTCCTCTTCTTGATATTCCATTAATTAGTGCTGTGGGCATGGAATAGACTTCTTACTGGGAAAAAGAAAACTGCATTCACACATTAAACGCTAGTTTTATGCCAATAGAGATACGCAAAAGCTCATTACATTATTTAGGTGTGCCCAGCCACTGGCATCTGGAGTATATTGACAACAGCTCATTAGCTGTAAATAACAAGCATGGAATGAAGTTGAAAAAGAAGCAGTTCAAACAGACTTTCGCACACACACAAGCACAAACATATGTACATATACATAGAAGCAAACGCATGCAAAAAGTGTAACTCGGATTGTATGTACATATGTACATATATATGCATGTCGAGACGAACATTACCTGTACAACTTCCACATGTAAACAGCGGCACGACGGCAAAATTGACACCGGCACCTGCATTAAGTGCCTGGAGCTGAATGTGGATGATAAATCTTGTAGATGGAGCAGCAGAACCAAAGAGGAAATGCAAAAACAGCAACGCGCACTTCCACTTCCACTTCCACTTTTTATTTTTTTTTTTTTTTGTATTGTGTATTCCTTTTTTTATATGTTGTATATGTATGAAATTGCAACCTTGTTGTACTGGGCTGTTAGCGGGTCTAAGGACGGGCACGATTGCACCGGAACCGGGCGCGTACGTCAAGTCTTGTCTTTTGGCTAGATTATGGGGGAGGGGTGGTCGCTTATTTCAATTTGTGTATGTCTTATGCGCGCGCAAGAAAGTGACAGCTAGACACAGATACACATACACATGCAACACAGAACACACGCATATACAGTTTTATATACAGCGAATGTTCCTGCTGCTGCTGCTGACCTTTCGCACTGTATGATTACTTTTCTAGTGCCCTTTCCACTTTCACAGCTGTTTGATCACAATTTATGCCAACCGTTTGTTTATCGACTTTATTTTTATGAGCTTGTGCTTTTAATTGAATGATTTTAATGCGCCTGACGCCTGAGATCTATGCCGAAAAAGCACACCGTTCGTTGTGTCTACTGTTTTGTATTTCCACATACATATACGCAGTTCTTATTCGCATTCTCTTCTGCTACTTGTGCTTCTTCCTCTGTGCCTATGTCTACTGCTGTGTACATGTGTGTGTGCGTGAATGTGTATGTTCTTTTGTCTGAAATTATGTATTCGGTGAGAGCGATGTATTTTTGCTTATCGATAGATACCAACTATATCGATTAGGAAAAATACGATGTTGAAGAGAATTTATTGCGATGAATATATTAAATAACTTTTAATATAAAAGCAATATTTATGTACTATGTGCGCGATATGCGTAGGGATTTTTGCAGCGCCGCTTTTACAATTTCATCGGGCGATGGAGTATCAAATCGAAAGCGTTTAATATTTGTACCATAATCCTCCCGTTTACACAACTTCAGATTTTGCAATTCTAATGGGGATGCCGCATACTTAAGCTGTGGCTTTCGTGGTGCTGGATATCCTACTGTTGCATCCATCATACTCCCAACAACACTGGATTTCTCCATATTTCTTGAAGCAAATGCGCCCTCATCGCCTGACATACGGATCAGGTTTTTCTTATACAACAAGCCAATAGGGGGACGGTCGCAGCTGATAAATGGAATATCAAAGTGCTCTACTACGGAAGATGCCCGCTTATGGCGCACCTTGCTTGCCGCCTCGCGGGGTGCGGCACCTTTCTGTCTGGCAATTAGAGTTGTGGTTAAATCAATTGTTTTCTCTACTTGTGATAGTGCTGGGTCTTCCTTTGTGGTCTTCAGTTTGGTAATTTCACCAGCTTCGTCAGCGTTGATATTCAGATTGACCACTCCCTTTATCACTTTAGTCAGGTCCAATGACTTGCTCTGGTTTAGCGACTTGTTAAATGGTATGTGAAGGTGGGTATTTTCGAGAGTCTCGCCCGAAGCCGTTAGTAGATTGGGTATGATCAATTGCCGAATGGCGATGTTTTCAGAGGATCCTGATTGATCTCTAGCTTCACTCTGCTTAAGTCTAATTGCATTAAGGAGTTGCTCGTTGTGGGCAGCTGCAGCACGATTGTGCTCCATCTGCTCGGCACTGGCTGTCTTGCTTGTGTTTCTCTGAGGTAAAAGTTGTGGTATAACAAATTTTGTCCCAATCGAAAAGTGCGTTTTTCCTGGCTCACTAGCATTTTGGCTGCCCAGTGTCTGATGAATGGATTGCTGCAGTGATTGTTTATTCTCCTTGTCCAGTTCAAGATCAGCGTTAGCCATAATCTACAGTGGGGAAGTTACAAAACAAAATTTTACTAATACTCAAACAAAACAAGAAAGCTAAAAACCTTAGTTTCGATATTTCTTTTGTTTATGTTTTTATTTGATAGCTATTTCGATTGCCTGATGGCAATAATTTGGCTTTTACAAGCCTATCGATATTGCAAAACAGTGTTGATTTATTGAGTACTGGTTTGAAAGGCGGGAACATTTAACTGTTCAAATATATGTATTTGGAAAATTATGATTGAAATAGCAAATGCAAGCCTAGATGTGATCCAATCGGCAAATAGGGCCGTCTTCAACCATTTTCAGATCGACTCTCGGTCCGACCAAGTCCCGAATATTGTTAATGCCGTACTTGATCATCGTGGGCCTTTCCAGCGATAGGCCCCAAGCAATAACATTAACGTTCTCTGGCAGCCCCATGGGTCGCAGTAGTTCCGGGCGGAAAAGGCCTGAATTGCCCACTTCAATCCATTTGGCCAGACCCGGATGATAGCAGAATATCTCCATGCTGGGCTCAGTATATGGATTATATGCCGGTTTGAACTCCAGCTGAGTAATACCCAATTTTCGGAAGAATTCATAAAGCGTGCCAATAAGATCTCCCAGTGTTAGACCCACATCTGCAATAACGCCTTCCACCTGATGGAACTCCGCTAAATGGGTAGCATCTAGCGTCTCATTCCGGAACACCTTGTCTATGCTAAAGTACTTGGCCGGCTTGAAGCCACCCTCCTGGTTCGCGAGCTTGAAGAGCATTCGTGCACTCACGGCTGTTGTATGTGTACGCAGCAGATTCTTTTGCGCATCCGACAGCTTCCAGTCATAGCCGTATCCGAGCGACCCGTAGCCACCCTTTGAGTGTACGGCTTTGACGCGCTGGAGATACTCCTGGGGAAACTTGTGACTCTGCGCCGGGTGGATGATGAAGAACGTATCGTGCGCATCACGTGCTGGATGCTGTTGCGGCTGGAACAGTGCGTCGAAGTTCCAGAACGATGACTCCACGTAGTTGTTGGTGGGCATTTCAGAGAATCCCATCTCCAGAAAAATTTGGCGAAACTCAGTGCGCACCTTGAGTAGCGGATGCAGATGGCCACGCGTCGGTGCCGCGCCCAACGCATCGAAGTTATATGACTTGAATTTCAACTGCTCCCACAAGCCACTGGTCAGCATGTCCATGGTAAGATCCGTTTCCAACTTAGTTAGTGTTGTGGCAAACTCTGGACCCTTGCTCAAAATAAAACTCTTTACAGTAGTCTCCTGCAGCAATTTCCGTTTCTTGTAGTCGGCCACATCTTTAGCAGTCAACTGCGACTTGCCACTGGCCACCAGCACCAGCTGCTCTTTCACATTGTCGACAATTTGGTCCACCTTTCGTCTAACCAGCGGCGGGTTTACACTTTTATCTAACAGTATCCAGCCCTGGGACATGGCTTTGCTGAAGCCTACTTTAGCATTGGGTCCTCCGGCAACCATCAGAGCTGCTTGAGCTATACCTTCCGGGGGCACCAGAGAATAAACGATAGCCTCATGGCTGCCCTTTTCGACCACGGACTGGCCTTCATCGGTTAGTTCCAAGTTTTTCTGTGTGGCTGTCTCAGCGATGACTAGATCGCCATGTGCCTGTATGCTCTTTAAAGCGCCGACAACTTTCTGATGGTCAACACTGAATAGCGTGGCAAGCTCTAGTGTATCCACTTTGTCAACTGTCTCCAAATGCTGTAGGATGCGCTCGGTGAGATCGGGATGCATGTTGTTAGCCGTATCTGCGTTTGCTAATCACCTAATTCAAGTTAATACAACGATAACTGCAGACGTATACGAATTTGCAAACGCAATCTTACAATTACAAATCGCGTGTTGCAGCTGTCGATAGGCATTAAAAATATCGATAGGCCATTGAAAATTTGACTGCGATATATTGCACGAAGAGTGTTGCAAACTACTAATGAATCTTTAGTGTTTGTTTTTATTTACCGTAATTGAAAAATGGTCGATGTTGTAAACATAAACATAAACACAAAGTGTGCCGAAATTCATTACGACACTTCAGTAGAAGCAAACTTTCTCATAAAATGTATTTGCGGCAGCACTTTATCAGACTACATTGCATTCCAGCAGCATTTTATTAGTAATCATCTTCAGCCAGAGCTTCATACCGTAAAGGGAGACATCTCTGGGGCATCTATTAACTGCTTAAATGAGCCTGTTGTTGAGCTACCATCGTTGTCGGAGCTGCCAACGGGATATGATGTGCTTACGTTTGTCGAGTCCAAGTGGAACAATGAATCATCGCCGAAGCAACCTAATAAGCGACGCAATGGACCAAACTCTTGCACATATTGTGGGCGGACATTTCGACGACGTTTTTTGCTGGACACCCATCTGAATATCCACACTGGCAGCAAGCCCCATCAGTGCGACATGTGTGGCAAGCAGTTCCGAGCCGTCTCCACACTGACACGGCATTTGCGCACGCATAAAGACCGCAAGGAACTCCAGTGCCAGTACTGCGATAAGCTATTTACCCATCGCAGTGCACTGCTCAGCCACGAGCTGCGGCACACTCAAGTGCGTCGTTGGGCTTGCAATGGCTGCGACAAGAGCTTTTACACCCGTAATCAAATGGATACCCATAGGCGCAAGATACATGTTACTTGCACCACACACAAAGGCCAGGATCAGGTAGACAACGCTGAACTAAGTCCATCCTTATTGCCGTTTACCTGTAAGCTGTGCGGCAACAGTTATCGGAGTGCCTCCACGCTGAGCACCCATAAACTGAAGAAACATTATCGCTTGGCCAAATACAGCTGTGAACTGTGCGACAAAAAGTTTGTGGACGCTAATCACCTGCAGCAGCACCAGTTTATTCATGTGAAGCCAGAAGCTGCAATAAACAGTTAATATAGTATAATATCTATTTATCTGTATCGGTATCTTAATAACCAAAAAGCAATAGTAGCCAGGAGCTATGCCATCCAATTCAAGGCAAGGCAAAATACGCAAATTTACGTACATACATGTGTACATACATATGTATGTATTAACTTAAGAACTTTATTTAGTTGTTAATGATTTCAGTCTGTGGATGTAATATTTCAATTCAACAAGAATTTTAGCTGAATAAATGCATTAAATTTTATGAGGACTATGAGTGAATAAGCAAGACCTGCTGCATCCTTGCAAAATACAGTGCTGTAAAATGCCAAAGCAAAACAGCTGTTGGGCCAGTCAGTCAGAATTGAAACGACAGAACGATTTGTTTGCGTTGCTTGTTGCAGTCTAATCAGAACTAGAAAATATCTTACAAATGCTTATTAGCTAGCGGAAGCGGATCGAATAAGAATTGAACATGCTGAAGGCTCTCAAGCCGGACACATTTGCCGGCATTGCCAATGCCAAGTGTGGGGAGGTGTATTTCCAAAGTCTAAATAGCTATCGCATTGACTGCGCCTTCTGCCACATGAAGAGCTTTGTGTTCGCTGACTTTCTGCTGCACATTCAGAACGAACACTTTAAGGATGGGCTGCTCAAGGCGGAGGTGATGCTGCCGAAACAGGAGGACATGGACAGCAGCACCTCGGCAACCCAAACGAATTTGTTTTCCTGGTATGAAGTGACGACCAACGAATACGACTTGGCCAACAGCGGGACTGAGTTTCTGGGCGAGACTAAGCAGCTGGTGGACGACGACGATGATGATGAGGAGGATGAACTGGAGGATCCTGTTGGCATCATGAAATGGGATGTGTCGACGGAGTGCCTTTACAATGATCGCATAATATCAGATGCTGACAATTCAGATGCCATAAGCCAGGAGCTAGAGGCGCCCCTCAGGGCCACAAAGGAGCAGCTGACCTGCATACACTGCAATAAAACGTATCAAAGCAATAAGTCGCTGCAGCGCCACATGGAGCGGCAGCACAAGTATGCCGATGCCGTCTCAGAGGATGACGTGGACGTGGACATCGACGCAGACTACGAGCCGCCCAAGGTGCACGCACCCAAGCCATCCACCAAATACAAGTGCGACCACTGTGACAAGGTCTATCACGGCAAGTACACGCTGCGGCAGCATGTGAAGCGGGACCATGACATCAGCCTGAGCGACGCCTTTGTTTGTCTGGAGTGCAATGTGCAGTTGCCACGGCTGCGTCTGCTGGACGAGCATGTGGTGAAGGTGCACGGCGGTGCGCCTTGTGTGATATGCAATCGGCGGTATAAGACGCGTCACGAGTTGAAGCGGCACCAGCTGAAGCATACGAATGAGCGCGATGTGCCATGCAGCCATCCGGGCTGCGAAAAGCGCTTCTTTACCACGCGCCATATGCGGAACCACAGTAAGGTGCATTCAGAACAGAAGAACTTCGTGTGTGAGAGCTGCGGCTACAGCTGCCGCAATAAGGAGACGCTGCGGGTCCATTTGCGCAGCCACACGGGCGAGCGTCCTTTCGGCTGCAAGGTGTGCGACAAGCGCTTCCCCTCCCACTCGGGTCTGCGCGAGCACATGGCCATGCACTCGACGGAGCGACCGCACGTGTGCAAGGTATGTGGCGCCACTTTCTCTCGCCAGAAGGGACTTTACCACCACAAGTTCCTGCACGCAGCTACGAAGCAGTTCGTGTGTAAGCTCTGTGGCAATGAATATGCTCAGGCAGCGGGTCTGGCGGGGCACATGCGAAAGCACCGCAATGACGAGCTGAATGGCTGAGTAATCTATAATCCATTATCTTCCATTATGTAGTATGTTTGCCCCATTTATTCGTTATGTTTTTACTTATAAGCACTCAGGCATAGTATAAGCGAAATTCATACGTACATGTCTATGTGCATGTACAGAGTACATTGACATACATACATACATATGTACATTTATGTATACTTATTCTAAGTTATTAAAATTCTTATCTGATTGTTTTTATTCGCATCCGCATTTCAAATTGAATAGTCTAAGTATTGTAGTCGATCGTCGATCGAAGTGAGTTCGATTTTATTAATGTGCTCAAAACAATTTGAAATTCTCCAATCGAAAGAATGTTATCGATTGTCTAACAAAGTACATTCGATGCTCTTAAGTGTGTTGTAACTGATAGTGGGGAAGGGAGAGATTGTATGTCTTGTAATTTAAATTTAGCTCCTGTTGACAACAATTAATCGAGCCACAAATGCCAAAACGCTCGTTTAACATAATGCCAACGATTAAATTTAGCATGCACTGCGTGACAATGGCTGATGAGATTCTGGTGAGTGCAAAATTTGATTGCAAATTTGTTCACATGTTTATTACAAAATTTTATTGAAGATAACGTGCAAGACAAGAGCAAAAAAGAAGCATGACTTAAAATGTTCAAAAAAATCAGATCAATTCGAGGACTCTGATCCTGGCAACAACCTACTGCGTCATATGTGTGAGCAATGCGGATATAGAACTCGCATATCTGGAAATTTAAAGGTGCACAAGCGCCGCCATACTGGAGAGAAACCCTTCTGTTGTGACATATGCAATGCATCATTCGTGGCACGATACCAATTAACCACACACAATGAGCGCCATATGGACACAGGTCAACGACGCAGTCGCTACATGTGCAGGGAGTGCAATGTAGGATTCCTTAGTGCACGCGCGCTCTATCACCATAGGCCGCTTCATGCTCAGGTGAAGCAGTATAAATGTGACATATGTGAGAAGTCGTATGCGCAGGCAGCAGGATACGCACAGCACAAGCGCTGGCATCGCCAACGCAACGAACGAGCAACGGCCTTAAGTAACTTAAAAGTTCCTGACACAATCGAAACTATTTTAAATTAGCCCGCGTAGACATTTATCAACTCTACATCATTTCGATAACATTGCCATGATTATGGAAATCGTGTTATCGATGCATTGTTTTGGTGATTGTGTGGGCGAGTATCAATTTGTTTATATTTGTTTTCATGGCAAATGTTAAAATAAACGAATTCGAAGCATGTTGAAGCAGTGTCTTGTCAATGTGGACTTCTCGCGACTGCATGTCAATCAGCAGCAGCGCCCAAAATGTGGCGAAATATTCTACGAAAGCGAAAACGAATTCTGCAGTTTCCAGCTGGTTTGCTGTCTCTGCGAGATGAAACATTTTGCGTTTGATGACTTCTCGATGCACATACGCAACGTACATTTCGACAAGCAGGGCAAACCGCGTACACAAGTCAAGGCCGATAAAAATGACGCATGTCAACCGTTGCCTCATTTAAATGCGACAGCATATACAGGCGAGGACGGACGGATCCAGGGATCAGATGAGGATGACAACGACGACAATGCATTGCGAGTCTGTTCGTTCGACGAGGTCAAGCTGGAAACTGTACAGCTGGAAAACAACAAAAATGGGCGGGCCGAGGACAGCTGCCATAGTGCAGACGAACTCGGTGCACCCAGAGCAGGGTCCCCGATCTTCAGTGATGTTGATGATGATGACGAGGCAACTGATAGCGAAACGGAAGCGCAATCTGTATTTAAGGTGAGTTGTAAACGCCATACTGTGGATAATATCATCAATATGATTTGCAGAAACAACCCGAGCCCAAGGAGTACCCATGCAAATACTGCAGGGGCAAATACACAACTCAGAAGTACCTAAATATGCATGTTAAGGTGAGGCATCCGCACCCGAACGGCTTCAAGTGCACCGATTGTGATGCCACCTTCGACGTGCAACGCGCCATGTTATCGCATCGTCGCAAGGAACACACAGAGTTTCCGTGCAACGTGTGCGGCAAGGTGTACAAAAGCTCACGTACTCTTCTACGCCATGTGCAGGCCCACTCGGGTCTGCGGCAATTCAAATGCGAACATGAGAGCTGCGGCAAGTCTTTTGTTAGCCAGCACAACTTGACGTCGCATCGTCGCGTCCACAGCACAGAACGGAACTACGTGTGCGAGCTATGTGGCTACCGCTCGCGCTACCGCGATGCACTCATTGTGCATCGGCGCACGCACACGGGCGAGAAGCCGTTCAAGTGTCAGACTTGCGCGCGCTGTTTCGCTTCGAAATCGCTGCTCAACGAGCACCAAGCCATGCACTCCACGGAGCGGCCGTACAAGTGCGACAACTGCGAGGCCTCCTTCTCCCGCCCCAAAGCCCTCTACCATCACAAACATCTGCATTTGGGCGTCAAGAAGTTCAAGTGCAAGATCTGTGGCAATGCTTACGCCCAGGCAGCGGGTCTCTCAGCCCATATGCGTGGTCACAAAGCGCAGGCCATCAATGGCATTGTTGATGGCGGCTCAGCTATAGTCTGTCCACCGCATCTTTAAGCATCCCCGCACTAAGCTAACTGTACAGTCACTTAGATATTACAAATGTGCACAAACTATACTTATACTATTTAGGCTATAATGTATGTGCTATTATCATTGGATATTGTATAGCATAATACAATGGTGGATAAAAGTATGTTGACAGCGCATTGTAAAAGCTTATCGTCCTTTTGGCTGGACCAAAGTATTTTGATATTCCCTTTCATATTCATTCTCGGTAATTCGTTTGCGCTACAAAATACATATCTTCATTGTTAAAGCTATTTTTCGTAATTACCACTGTTTAATCGTAGTTTTGAATAGTTGAACTCATTAAAAATTAATTTGTTGAGAAGAATAAGGCAGGCATTTCTGTGGAGCATTCCAAAAGAAGAAATCAATCAAAACGAAACCTATAAAAACCCGCTAATATTGATAAGATACGGATTTAGCCAAAAACAGTGTCGAACGAACTTAAATAAGATCATAAAATACCAAAAGGTTGAAAACTTTCGAAAGCAGGCTAAAGAAGTCGGATTTTTCTATATAGTAGTTCGCTTAATACCTTTAGGAAAACAGAACAGATATTGTGGACAGACCAAACCTCTGTTGAGTATCAAGGATTAAAGAAAAAGATTTTTAGCTGGTTGCCTAAAAGTGACTGGGAAATCGGTAATGATATTCATTAATGGAGTAATAAGAATCACATGTGTGCTGAATGAATCTTATTGAATTCCGGGGACCTGGTCAATCAACAGGATAACGCTCCATGTCACAAGGCCCATATGATAACTGAATATATGAATATATTGGAGTCAATACACTAAACTATCTCTTAGCTTATGTAAGAGGACCCCATAGACTTATCAAGAACGCTCGAGCAGACTGATTGATTCCTGCATGCTTATAAAAGGTCGTTGGCATTATATATAGTTTCGTTGTTATATATATTTTGGACATCGGCTCAAAATTTTAAGGTCAGTTGCAATTGTATCTGATTGTGAATGAGTTGGTATTTGATAAAGCGGTTTAAGTTTGCAATGCGTTGTCACAATACTTTTTTCACCATTGCACTCTGGGCGAAGTCAAAACATTTATTGTTAAATGTTAGCTGTCCAGTTAGATGGAAAACAATTTTCTTTTGTACCTGTGGTCAATTCTTTCATTGTGGGAAAATCTGGAAGCCAGATGACCTGTTGAAACTTTCAAGTATAAAAAGTAAGAAGGCTCTAGTCGAGACTGCTCGACTAGGAGATACCTTGAACCCCCCAAACTGATACTCTAATCCTTTTTCACTTCTTTTATGCACGTACACATAGTTATGTACATATGAATTCAGACTTACGCATAAGCCCGCGCTCTGCTAACTGCGCAGTAAGCAGCGACTGCGCTTGGTCTGCGCTGCAGTGTGGGCAATATTATGGGATTTCATTTGTTGAATAATAATCTAACAATTTTCTTTGTGTTTTTAAAGTATTAGTAATATAATAACACAAAATCAGCTTCTAGCCGCCAAAATCGAGAAATCGCCCATAGTGTATTGTACGAGTATAACAAAAATATGCTACAGAATCTTGTTAGTGGTTAAGCGTAGCATTTATACAGCTCTATTTTTCCATCATATGTTGGTTATTATATATGTATTATTATATATGTATTACTATTATTAGATATTGTATATCATAAACGAAATTGTTCCAAAAGAAAATACATAAATATAACCTTGTAACTCATAACATAACTGTAATACGTTGATAGCACTAATTAACTATAATACGTTGGTTTTAAAAATGTAATATTATCATTAACTGCACATAATAATAGTTCCGAAATATATTCATGAACATATTAGGAACTATAGTAAGCTGGTTATAATATATGTGCATATGTATAATTAACATCAGCTATTGTATGTCATAATAAAAATTGTTCAAAAAGAAAATATGTTTACGCACATCAATAGAATTTTGTAAAGTATAGCGTAGCGACAGCTCTGATAATAAGCTATATATCACGGGTATGCTACACCGTATTAAATATAATTTATCAAAGTATGTAGCTCTTCCACTCAATTTTGAGCCTTTCTTCAAGATTTTTGCATTTAGCGGAGGCCTAAGGGATGAAAAATATGTAATTAACTGGGATATTATTTAATTCTAACTAAAATACACTTTTTTGTGTATCCTGCTCCTGAAAATGATAATTCAGGATATAATGGTATTGTAAAAATGTATGTAACAGAAAGAATGCGTGATTGACTAGAATCAATCTGGTTAGTGCTAGAATGCGGAGCTCAGATGATTTACCCCTGACGGTCTATTTTTCTCGTAGATAAAGTAAAAAAAAAAAGTAAGAACGATTTAGGCGGGGGTTACTAAGTGGAGAATACTCATTCGAATCCCAATAGCATTTAGTATTTAGTAGCCAAGTTTAGCGCTAATACTGTGTCATTTTGCCAAATTTACCACGCCCCTACTGGGCGTTGACACCTCATTTCTGGCTAGTTCTTAAAACGAGCTAACGGTAATTGCAAAATTTGGATGCTTACGCTCAATAAATGTGAAAACTACAGGGTATTTTTTGATATGCCATGCCCTTAAAGAGGCGTAACAATAATTTTACTATATCTTCTGGACATGTGAAACTATTTCGGATGCACTAGTAAGTTTTTACAACTTAGCGAGAGATAGACGATCGCTACTCAACTGTATGTATATATGTATATGATATGATAAACAACTTTTATAAACATCGCTAGAGCTGCTCTTAGTTTATGAATGAAACGCTTCAAGAATTCGGTTTTCGCTTCAACATTTATTTCGAACAGGAACTTAGAACTAGCGCATAATATGTTTACATAGATATACACGAGCTCCTTCTCTTTGGATTGGTTGGGTGCACTCCGGCTCCTTTGCATCATACTTAAAGTATACAGTATTTGGTGTAATACACAGACAGAAAAAAAAGCTGAAAGCTGACAAACAACAGCAGGAGCGTGCTCAACAGATTCAATTTACATATATATGCATATGCACATTCGTATAATACACACACATATATTTTTGCTGGTTTTATGGTTTAGGCCCACACTCGGATGGTGTAGTCCCAGCTGCCAGTGGACAGCGCTGTGCCGTCGGGCGAGACCTGCACGCAGGAGACCTTGTTTTCGTGGCCGTACAGCAGGCAGACGCGCTCCGATTTGAGTGTGTCCCACAGGTTGACGGTGTAGTCATTGTAGCCGGCAAAGAGCAGTCGCCCACTGACTGAAAAGTCCACTGAGTTGACGCCAAAGATAATGCTTTCCTTGGCAAAGACGGCGACTTCGCGGTCTGCGCGCATATCGAACAGACGACAGCTGCTGTCGTCGGAGCCCGTAGCGATGGCGTCGCCGCATGGATGGAACTTGACACTGTTCACGTCCGACTGATGGCCCTCGAAGGACTGCACAACATGGCCAGACCGCATGTCCCAAATGAAGGCCATGCGGTCGCAGCTGCCAGAGACGAAAGTGTTGCCTGTCTCGTTTGGCGCCAAGTCGATGGCCATCACGTCGCCGGAGTGGCCATGGAAACTTTGCAGCAGTTGACCAGATTCGACGTCCCATAGAGCGCATGTGGAATCGCCGCTGCCTGTGAGTATTTGTTGATCTGAATTGGGGTAGATGCAGCACGACATGTAGCTGGTGTGCGTGCCGACAGTGCGTTTCTTGGCAGCCATTTCCTCATCGGAGGTAATCGGATATACCGTTACTTTATTGTCCAGGCCCCCACAGGCCACATAGTTGCCGGATGGTGCATACGCACATGCCATTATCCAAGTGGTTGGCATTGTCACAGCGTGCTCTTTGTTGGTGGTAAACGCATCCCAGATTATTAGGCGCCCGTCCTGAGATGATGAGATAATGTGGCGTTTATCGGGACTCCAGTCGGTACACAGCACTTTCGCCTGGTGACCTTTCAGCACCTTACGTGGCTTTATGTTTACGAAGGCTATCTGCTCCAGCCTTTCAGCAATGGTTGAGAGACTGACATCGTTCAGCTTTTGGCGCTCCTCTTCTAATTTGGCTTTCAAATTTTCCGCCTCCTTCAGCAAGCTGGCCATCTTTTCATTGGCATTCGCATTGCTGGCTGAAGCGGCGCACTCCGACATTTTCACAATTGATTTCTGTTTATGCCCTGCCCGTGCCGTACACTTCAATGGAAAAGCGGGGGCGAAAAATCAATATGCTGATTGCAGTTAGAAAAAAAAGTGTATACACGAATACACAACGGGCGGCAGCTACCAGTGTGCAAAATTCGAAAATTGCAATTTATCAGCTGTAATACAACACTGACAGTGATTAAATAAACAATTGTTTTGAAATCAAGCACTTGCTGTTTGTTTAGCATCGATACTTCGAATTGGGCGGTTATTTCGAACTACCTTACTACTTTTCACAAATTTAACATAAAAATACTAATTTTATATTTCTTGGTTGCATATCCAGTGACTCATGTATTCTTCCTGCTTCTAATGGACATGATGATTTAGTTATTAGTATGCACTGAAATGTAAACATTAAGAAATCATCGATTGTCCGGTAATTTATATTAATCGAGTAGTTCATCGATGCACAGCTGTCCAGTGTTTGGTGCGACGGCGGCTTAGATTTGGAGCCTGATACGACGCCAAAGATAAATGGACCCGATTTCAGAGTATTGATGCTGTAATCAGTGTTCCACAGGATGATTAAATTGCAACCAGATTTTGATCGTTCATATTTTAATTTTCGTTGCGGCGAGGTATTCTGCGTCGGCCCAACGAGCTACGATGTTTGCTGTGCACTATGCGACCAGCAAGTGCCATATGAAGGATTTCCTCAACACTTTCAACTCAAGCATCTGACAGAGTCAGAGGTAGATACGGACACGGAGACGGAGACTGAAGAATGCAAGCTGTTCGCTACACATGCCGTGGAGCAGCATCTGGATGCACCGGTGGAGGTGGATGCCGTACCGCTGGCCATTAAATCCGAGGACGATCCCATTGCTCATGACGAGACGCACACGGCCAATGACATTGTGAATGTGGACTTGGCACAGATAGCGTTGCTTGACCGGGAACACGAGACTGATAAAGATGCAGATGGCACTGCATCTGAAGAACAGAATGGCTCCATTGCAACTAAGCGCCAGCGACGCGAAGTAACACTTAAGAATATTGTGGTGCAACAGTCGAAGAATAACTCGCCAATGGACAAACATTTGGATTGGACGGCGGTCGATGACAACAACAGCGAAGCTCGTATTGAGCGAAATGAGAACTCAGGCTCCGATCATAATGATGAGGAAGAGGACGACACCAGAGACATGCTCTTCCAGTGTGACCAATGCGATCGGGCCTACAACACCAAACGCAGCCTGCAGAGCCACAAACGCAGCAAGCACAATTTCCGCAAGCCGCCAAAACCGCAGAGGGTAGCTGCAGGCGATACCATGACGACAGCCACATCAGGAAGCGTCCGCAAGAAACCGCGTAAGGATCCCTCCAAGATCTACAAATGCGACGAGCCTGAGTGCAATCAAACCTTTCGCACTGAGCGCGACTTGCGTGGCCATCGCTGGAAGCACACGGGCATCTTCTGCGACATATGTGGCAAGCCATTCACGCAGTCCGGCAACATGATGCGCCATCGCCAAAGGCACAGCGGAATCAAGCCCTACAAGTGCCAGCAGCCAGATTGCGAGGCCACCTTCTACACGCAGAAGGAGCTGACGTCGCACAACATATGCCATACCGGCCGCATGCCATGCATATGCGAGGTGTGCGGTCGTCCCTGCCGCGATCGCGGCGTGCTCACTGCGCACATGCGGCGCCACACGGGCGAACGGCCTGCCAAGTGCGAGGTGTGTGGCAAGGCGTTCTACAGCTTCCACGATCTCAACGTGCACGCCGTCTCGCATACGAATCTGCGGCCCTTCGTCTGTGAAGTGTGCGGCTCCACGTTCCAGCGCAAGAAAGCGTTACGCCTCCACAAGCTCCTGCACTCTGAGAAGCGGAAATATTCGTGCAAGCTGTGCAACAAAATGTTTGCCCAGTCTGGCGGCCTCAATGCCCACATGCGCACTCACGAGTCGGCACGGGCCAGAGCCAAAGCCAAGGCCAAGACATCCCAAGTCGATCTCGAGGTTGAGGTAGAGGAAGCCGACAACACTGACCAACTGCTGGAGGAGGCTGTCACCATTGAGCTGCTCCAGGGCCACGCATCCCATGTAGAGGTTGTTGCCGTTGCAGCTGCGGGCAGCTGGCATGTGACATAATCATGGGAATCTATATAGTCTTCTGTACGTGGCCGCCAGTCGGCCCCAACGTAATATGTAAATATTGAATATTAAAAAATATCAAAATATAACTTAAATTCTTTTCAATTCAAATTCGCTTGCATTCCCCAAAGATCAGGCACCGCCTCTCTGGCCTAGACATTGGCACACCACATAAGATAATGCATCACATACATATGTATGTACATAATACATAAATGAATCGGTAAGTAATCGGTACAAAAGGGTCCTTTATTATTATTTGTGTTGCTGTTCTTGTGCCGCTGTTCTTGCTAATTTACTACTACTGCACAATTATGAATATGCTCATCTAACATACATACATATACATATGTATGTATATATATATATGTATATAAATATTTGTAATATATATGTATGTACGCTGCCATCAATATATGTATGTATGTATATGTGTGTATATTGCTCTTAAGACTTGACAAAAAATCACCTAAGAATAATTGTTTAACATAATGGACGATTTTTTCTGTGTTTACTATTGATAAAATCAACCAATGGCTGGAAGTGTTTTAAAAACAAAGTTCCGAAATTGTAAACTAATTTGAAAAAAAAAAAAATCATTAAATTAAGTACAAACGTGAATCAATGTAATCACAATATAAAACTTATTAGAATAAAGACGGAATGAGAATTGATTAGCATGACTGGATACTGTTAACCGGCCAATAACTTTCCCGAGCTGTCACTGGAATCTTATTGGAATCTGTTAACAAACAAATTCACAACATGGAATGATTCTAATCCGATTTACGGATTTTAATCAAATCTGTTCTTTTCTCTTTGCATTGTTAAACAATAAATTGCGTGTAAACGTATACAAAAGTTTGGCCTATTTGAATTGCTATCATACTACATGAATGTTATATGATATACTATATATATATATATATATATATATATATCAGATATACATACATATATATATATATATATATATATATATATATATATATATGTATATCTGATAAAGTCGCTTCTAAACTATGGTATAAAAATTGCTTCGCTGTGATGTTTTTCTCCGTTTTTGACTAATAATCGTAGATCGTACAAGGTCTATATAAAATATACATATTTCAGGGCCTATCGTTCGTATGTATATATAAGCATCTAGTGTATATTGAGCACATGGCTAGTAGTTAGTCCTAGGCGATTCAATTCACACAATGTTAATCTCAATCTTGATCAGGAGCCGATTGTCGGCACAGAAGCCCAGTTGCATGATATTGGATATGTTGGCGTACTCGAGAAATCCGAAGCCGCGTGTGCTGATGGCCTCGCGCGGTTGATGGAAGGCGAGTATCTCTGGCTTGGTCATGATGGTGTCGTGCTGTGATAAACTCGCGTCGCCCGGGTGCACCATGCAGAGCTTGATGCGACCCTTGAATGGCCAGTCCAAGTGGAAGTCGTTGTCCGACTGCATCAGATGCACGTGCAGGCTAAGCACGTGAGGCTTCCGCGGCTGAATGTTGAGACGGGCGCAGAACTTGTAGCCATACGGCGACGTATAGCACTCGTGCGAGTACACCTGGTTATTCGCGTTGGCGCGCAGTCGCTCTATCAAGGTGCTCAGCTGCTCGATCTGCCAGACGATGGTGCCGTTGCTGTAGCGGGCGTCGATGGGCTGCTGGCGTCGCAGCTGCTTGTTGAGATTCTCGATGCGTGTCTCCTGCTCGCGTGTGCGCTGCTCCAGCACGACGATGCGCTGGTACATGGTCTGGACGATCTGCTCGTCGACGCCGTTCGCATACTGCGGCGGCGGGGGCAGCTGTCCCGCCTTGTGGCCGTTCTCCAGCGCAGAGCTGGAGCTGGGCTTGTGTGGCTGCCAAGTCTCGATGGCAGTTTGTTGGAATGCCTGCAGCATAAGTTGCATGTGGTGCGGCATGTCCGTTTTGAGATGTTCCTCCAACTGGTTCGTCTCGGGGCGACCCACAAAATCGCATTTGATGCTGGCGAAGGGGCACTTCTCCTCGAGCGGCTGCTGTTGTTGCTGCCTGCGGTACGGGCAGCTGGGCAAATGCCGATGCAGCTCGATTGGCGAGGCCACCACTGCACAGCCATGCGGCGAATTGGGGCACTTGTGCTTGATTTGCTCAATCTCGCGACGCGTATAATTGTCGGGAAAAATATCCTGCTCGGCGGACAACTGCTTGTTGTCGAGCGGACAGCATTGGTTGTGGTTCTGCAGCCAATCACTGAGGCAGCTCTTACAGAAGCGATGGCCGCATGAGGTCAGCACCGGCTCGTTTAGCCAGTCTATGCAAATGGCGCACTCATACCGCGAGTCCAGGTAGTCCGTCTCCCCGTCGTGCTCCCCCGATGTGTCCGAAGCTGCGTAGTTTTGGTTCAGTGCCAAGGTACGGGGCGGCGTCACTCCTGCGGCGCCAACAGCTGCATTCGTTGTTGCAGCCGTTGTGGGCGTGGCATTGCTGCAGCCAGCAATGTGCGTCCCATTGCTGTTAATATTACTGTTATGCTGTTGCTGTTGTTGATGCTGCTGCTGTTGGTGATGATGATGGTGATGATGTTGCTGCTGTATGTCTTCCGTTTGCTGTTGCTGCTGATGCAGCTTCAATTGCTTTTGCTCTTGTTGAGTTCGCTGCATTGCATTAGTGCGTAAATGCATGCGTTGCGTCGCTCAGTCTTTGCTAGCCCTGAATTAAATATTTTCTTCAATTCGATCCACCTGACCACACACAAAAATATTGATGCTATTTGTTGGCAAGTGTTGCAAAATACTGAAGCCCCTTAACAGCTGAGAAGCAAGCTGTTCCCAGTAGATTACATTTTTGCGCTGGAGAGTTGATACAATTAATTCACATCACTAACGGAACAATAGTTGTTATATTCACAGTGCTTAAATGTACATATATATGCTTAATAATAATATATATTTCAAAATGCATTCACACAACATAAATACTCAAAATGGCATTGCCGACTGCAGCCAGCGCAAGTTGTGCAACACTGATAGCGGAACATATGTTCCACTGCTCAGCACTGCTTTGGGGGGAAGATAAGCGATTTACCTGCACCGACCCTTAATACACACGCACACGGCGAAATTGCCAATAGCTAATCGCCAGTCGAGCTGCAGCGTGCGAGCCCATAAAACGCCAGCTTTTAGTAGTCGGAGCGACATTTGAGTGTGAGAAGCGTGCCACAAACGCAACGCGAAGCCTTAAAAGAGAATACGTTGAATGAAAACACGCTTTTAACAGACTGACACATTGATAGATTAAAGAATTGACAGAATGGCAACCGCAATCGCATTGAACTGCAATTATATTTATTTGCTATGCTTAATTGTGTTCGCCTGGCAGATGTGCGCTGCAAAGCAGCTGCCATTGCCCGCCAATGTCGCTGCCGCTGCCACTGCCTCTGCCTCTTCCTCTGCGAGTGCAGCGGCAATACCAACAACCACAAAGCCAACGTCAACACCAATACATACAGTGAGCCACAGTATTGGTAATAGCGGCCAACAGCAACTACGTCACGAATCGTACGATAAAGACGACGACACAATTGCAGACGCACTGCCCCCCGCGCCCGCGCGCCGACGTCGACAGGTGTCCGATTGGTTCATAGCGCCAAACACACGCTGGTGTGGGCGTGGCAATTTGGCAAATGGAACGTACAATCACTTGGGCGGCGCATCGATGGCTGACAAGTGCTGTCGGAAGCACGATCACTGCAAGATGTACATACCGGCCATGTCCAATCGGTACGATCTGTTCAACTATCGCCCATACACGCTGTCGCACTGCAGCTGCGATCGGCGCTTCCGCACTTGCCTGAAAATGGCCAACGACGAGGATGCCAACACCATTGGCAAGCTCTTCTTCAACATGGTGCAGACGCAGTGTTTTATCCTCAAAACAGAAACCCTGTGTCAGCAGCGGGGCACAGGCAGCGAGTCGGACAAATGCTTGAGGGAAACAGTGCGCCACAAGGCCTACCTCAAAGATAACTTAAAGTTTTAGGCGCAGGTTCGTAAATATTGATAGCAGTCAGATCATGTTACATCAATATCATATTCATTTACTTATATAGCAGGGAATGCCTACGAAGCCAAAGCCCGTTGAATTGAACCTGCCAAATGCGTCAGCAACCAATTAAAATAAAAAACAAAATTGGCATCTGACATTAGGTTTGAAACCTAATAGCAAACTAATCTCAAAGCTCAGATGAACAACAAAACAACTTGAGCAATTGCTACACTTAAAACTCGTACTTACGAAAGACATACATTATTACTAAACTATACTCTACTCTACATTAAGCTCTCAACTCTATATGCATGTATACATATATATAGTACATACATACATATGTATATGTCAACTGCTTAACTTTCGTAGTCGTAGCTTAAGCATACAAACATACATAGGCTGCCTGTAAAACAAAGTTTTAAATAGTTTATAACTAAAGTAGTTGGTCTAGCCAGTAGTACGCATGCCTATATACATATGCGTAGTTTATAAATACTGAAAATGATAACTAAATTGTTCACCTAATGACACTAATTTATTATTAAGTGTTGAGGCAGACGACTTGGTTTTGCCTTGATTTCAATTATTCTTTACGTTACGTACACTTTTAGTCTATTTTTTTAGCGTTTAGTTCTGAAATACGAAAGCAACAATAAAAATGAAAGTGATTAAATAAAATTTTACGAAATGTGTCGTATCAATCAAAAATTGATGCTTTGGAATTTTGTACTTTACACTCGGGACAAATGTTATCAGGTCTCGAAGGTACTACGTACATTCACACACAGACAGACACACACACTCACAGTATGCATGTGTGTGTCTGTGCATGTGGCCGAGGATGGTATATTAATTGATGGGTCTTGTCTCAGTTTTCAGTCTCATTGACGTAGCTGTTGCTGATGACCCTTTGACAGTAACCCCTGTTGATCACACACAACGCATTTCTCCGTTATTCTCGTCATTTTCTATGCAAACTTTGTTTATATGTTATTGTTTAGGCGAAGATGCGTCATGATGGATCCGGGATCTTTAGCACTTGGGCAAAACCTCCTCGCACGTCATAGCGACGAGCCGCTACTGCCTATCGGCATATCGATAACAATGCAATCGCATCCTGTCAAACAACCCGTTACAGACTCGAATTCGAGTTCAAGTGCAACCGCTTCGGGCTATTTATCATTGGCCGTTGGAGGTGTGCGACTGTGTGAAGGGGGTGTGTCTGTTGTTGTTCCACTTTCCAGATACTTCCTGATATTACAGCACCGTGTATACGGTGCTTGGGTCTATTTTGTAAACAAACGTTTTGCTGATAACCGACAGTTGTAATCCGAGAGGCTGGTGACGTGTGATGCTTGTTATTCCTATTTATAAATATCGCTGCGTTGTCTAAAGGTCAGCAATGTAATGAGTCCTACTATAGACCACACATTACACAACTCAATATGACACACACTCATACATACATACATATATAAAAGCGTTGATTTTTGGCTGTGAAATATGAACAAAGTAGCCTTTCGATTGCCAGCTCCCATGTAGATACATACGACATACACATATTTTTTCATACATGTGTAGATAAGTCATCAATATTTACAATTAGAACAGAGCTATTTTACAAAACAAAATTACATTTGTGGGAAAAATTATGGAGCAACACCATGAAGCGCGTAGCGTCGCTGATATCTTTGACGGCCACAGCCTCTCCGGGAGACCGCTCATCTACCCTGACAGCGACAGCGATAGCATTGAAGAGGATGACGATTCGTCAAATGGACTAGATATAGGGTATTATCTCACACACAGTAATCCATCCATCTAACTATTGATCCCACAAGCAGGATTGCCTCAAGCAACTTAACGTTGAGTGCCGACAACCAGCTCACGTACACGCCCCACTACTACGGCATCCAAAGCATGGCCACGCTGCGAGTTTTGAATGCCACCATTGAGGCCCTGGAGTACCAGGCCTGTGCCAGTGATGCGAAGCTCTTGATGTTTGCAGCGGCGGCCCACAGCGATGGATATCGCAGCAACTTGGTGCCTGCGCCATCTATTTTTATGGGCGATGCGTTCTACGATATCGAGGGACTGCGTTGCATTATCTCTACCTGGCCCAACTGTCACCACCTCCTGAAAATCCTGAACTGCAACGAACGCTTCAGTCACTTGCCCGATGCAGGCATCGCCTACATTCACCTACTCCACTGGATTCTTGTGTGGCAGGCGTATCCGAAACTACGGCGCGTAGACGGCGGACAATTGCGTTGGCTGTGCAAGAAAATGAATCTAAAGCGCCCACTGCACAATCCTGGCTACATTCTGCAAGTAACTTACAAGGACGAGCCACGCTGCCTTTTTAAATCGGCCAGTCCTCATGCCTACTTTGGGTGTCCGGTACATTTTCTTTATCGACTACTAATAATGCGCGACACGCCCCGTCCGATGCATCTGTACGAGTTGCCAGAGATGGCAACCGCTCAGTGCTCCGACACAAAGTGCAATGGCTGGATGCATTCGCGCTTCGGTCGCGCCTCACGCTGTCTGGTCGTCTGTCAGCTATTGGATCATTATGAAATACGATTGCAGGATGACGGGCAGCCGGAGTATGTAGTCCACGATCCGTCCTGCGTTCGCGTGTGCTATTTACTGTTCTATTCTGGTGTCAAAAAATGTATTGGAATGCCACCCGATTTTGCCAGCCGCTTAGACTGTAACAATAGCAACACGGACAACACCGCCAACACGGACGTCACTGACAACAAGGCAAAGACAATGAGTATTGGCAATGGCCGCAGGATTTTTCGAATAGCCCGTTGGCTGAAGAAACGCGCCCTAAAATTAATTCAATGTCAATCCTCAGCCTAATTGTAATTTAAACATAATGTCAATACCATAGTCAGTCTTTGGTTTTTGGTTAAAATTAAAATTTTAAATGTTAACGTAATTTTCAAGTGATTTGAATGATCGAGAAAGTGGTTAACGACACAGGTGCAGCTGCTGTGCTGCAGCTGTGTTGGCAAACGTTCCAAACTATCGTTGGAAAATGCAATTTGCTTTGCTCAGGCAGTGTCTGCAATCGATGATAGTAATCGATAATGGGAGTTAGTTAGCGATGTTTTCCGTTGAAATTACAATTTTATTTCAAACATCAAAATTAAAATGCGATGTGATTGATATCTAGCGAAACTAGAGGGTTCTGCCGGCCATCTGGACGTTTTCGGCAGTGTAGTCGAGTACACTACGATAACGCCGGCGATAGTACTGGCATTGGCGCAAATAGACACTGATCAACCCCTTAATGGCCTCAAAGGTGAAGGCTCCCAACACTATGCTTAGCAATTTGCTGCTCACATTGCCATAGAGAGTCTGCCCAATGAGTACTGAGAAGGTGGGCAGACTAAGGGCCGTGCAGACACGGCATGTGGCTCGCTCAATATTCTCGGAATTCATAGTACCGGCCTGCATCATCTCATCCTCATCGATCGGCTCCAGCCTATCAAAATATTCATCGGTTAGCGGAGCGCCGGGCAGTAGATCCCCCTGCTCATCATAATGCTCCAACGCCACAGACTGACGGTGTTGACGGCGCAGCCAGCGCACCAGCCAGTTATCCCAGTCAAAACGGCGCAGTAGCAGCAACGCACATGGCACCGATGGCAGAACGATCAACAGAAAAGTGGGATCCTCTTTCATCAGCTGAATGCTCGTATCGTAGCCAGCTATTTGGTGCAGCGTAAGTGCTCCGTAGGAGAGCGTTGCCATATACACAACAGTGGCCAGCATGCCCATCAAAATGCTGGGACAGAGCATACAGTATGTCCTCTCCACACGCTCGAGCATTGCATCAAAACGGCAAACTGGCGGCATCACAATAATGTACTCGGTGTAGCACTGGGGGCAAGACACCGGAACGTCCGGGTTGACTTGCTGCTTCTCATCAATCCAGCGGCTGAGACAAGCCTCGTGCACCCACTTGTTGGTGCCACGGCAACGACACGGCTGCAGCCAGTCGTTGCGCAGAGTCCCCCCGTCTGTATTCAAGCAGATCCAGCACAAGCGCTCCTCGTTTGAGCCGTCCTGATGACCGCGACCTGCCCGTAACATGGCTTAATTGAGTGAATAGATGAAAGATGGATAAATGGACGAATAATATCAGTTTAACCAATAATTTTGAAACGCAACACAAACGTAATTTGGCTGGCGCTCTGAGGAGCGCTGAAAACTCAGACTTTCTCGAAGAATTGCTTGAAATTTTTGTGATATTTATACTATTTGTTGTTTTTTCAGACTTCAAAACATGTTCGAAGTTAAGCTCTTAACACAGCACCTACAAATGCCTCTATGTGAACTGAACATGTATATTTCAAATCGATTGGGAAGTCCATTAATATGGCTTGCTTGGTTTCAAATTGAGTAAATGTAAATCTCTATTTCTCCCATAAGTGTCATTTGGGTGAAACAGATAATAAATACTCTGAAATATACCCTATAAATATTATCCACAGATGAAAGCTAGCATAAAATTATATGCAATTGAATGAAATGTTCGAATAAAATCAAAAATAGTAAATGAAAACAAAATAATACTAAATTAAATTTTCAATGATATAATATAATTGATATAAAATAATAAAAAATAAATAAAAATAAAAGTGCTCTCTCTAATCGAGACTCCAATGATTGAATTTAATTATATGCAGTGCTGAGCTATATCAATCTTTTCAGAATATAACAACAAATACAAGTTTTGGAATTTCTTTCGATCTGTAGGCAACATTTATGCTTAAGACGATGAGATTAATCCACTTCCCCTCCATGAACTAAAAATGCTTATGTACATACATATGTATGTATATATTTTATTTCATGTCTGCCATATCCGATTGTATGTCCGTTTATGTCACCATAAATGCTTAACTCCTTCTGTTTTAATTATTTTCTTTTCATTGAGTTTTTACAATAACTGAATGATAATACTTATACATATATATATTACTTTGCGTGTTTAAAGTTGGATCTTGGATTAAAATTGTTAAGGATTTTAAGATATATTAAACTACTAGGAAGATTTGGAAGCGATATAAAATAGAATATATTATATATACGATATATAATAGAATATAGAATATATATAAAGAATTTATCAAGAATAAAATTGAGTTGAAATAAGGAAAGCTAAAGTATACTATGGGTAAAATATGATAGTGAAATGGAGCTGACCAACCTCAACCTCAATCTGAGTGTCGTTCTCCAAGCCAGATTCTTGTGTGTGCTCTGATTTTAGTGGCTTACATTTTGCACTGGGTAAGTGGCACACGCCAACAGGTTTTCTAGTTTGTCTCTTACTTTTTGGCGGCAACTGCAGCTGTAAAATGAGCGAAGGCCAATCTTGAGCGGGACGGAAATGCAAACCACAAACTGGATCTGACTCGGTCTTGAACTTGAAGTTGCCTGCGGGCGCACGCATCGCTTATTTGGTAGGGAAGACCTTGGGCACTTACCACATGCGCTGTCCATATCGAACTCTAAGCAATGTTAAGCAGAACCACTGAAACACGTAAACCACACGCGACACACAACATGAACAGCATAAACACAGTGTTTCACAGCTTCACCCAAGAGGGCAACAAACAAAACAAAAACAGAGCACAAGATCCAAGCTGTTAGATCGAAATTGTTTCTGGGAGTCTTTCGCGATGCGAGTGTTTGCGACTGATGGCCGGCACTGAACTTGTCAGCTCGAAAGCAGAGGAACATTTGGTCGCCCGAGCTCGAGCTAGAACAGGTGAGCCAGGTGTGCGAACCAAGCGGCCAAGCGACCAAGCGACCAAGCGACCAGTTGCCTTTCCATTCCACTTTTTCGACTTTGGCAAAGGCAACGGTAAAATACAAAGCTGGAATCAATTGAGGCACCTGGCCAAGCAAATGAAGATCAACCTGAAGATGCTGCTTGGGGGTACATCAGGTGGTTTGACTAGTCACCGCAGATGCCAACTGCCAGTCGCCTGCCAGAGAAAGGGAATGCACTGGATTCTCCGCTGGCTCTCAGTGAAAACTGCAGCCTAATTCCTAGCTAGAGCACAGGCGTATTCTTAATCTATATCCAATCTGTGTAATGTTCATATATTTTTCGCTATTCAGTGCCAATTATAGGAGGAATGATGATATTTCGATACTTGTGCTTTAAATGTCATCTATAAGAATTAGAGATATGAGGAATCTAAGTCATATATGTATTATGTTGTACATAAGGACTTGAAGTTAAATTTACAAATGAAGTACAAAAAGCTCATATATACATATTTTTGATAATTACTTATGAAAGCATAAAATTTAATTTTCAAGTTTCTAGTTTTTCCAGAATAATAACTAGAAGTACTTGATGTGAATGGAAATGTCAATAGCAGAAGACATTATGATATTCTATTTAGGATCTACTGCTCAAAAGATATTATGAATTAAATAAAAACACAGAAGACTGCCAAAAATCAACTATATACAACCGAGTTTTGTGCACTTTGAATTGATTTCCATATGATAATCTATAAATGTAGATAGGGAACTAATTGATGGATAGACCAGGCGATCGATTACATATTTTCCAATATATTATTCCAATACAAACATCCGCTAGATGAGGCCCGTCGGAAAATTTACTACGAAAGGCTAGATGAAAAGTTAAGGTAAAAATGGCAAATAATAAAATATATTGCACTTGTTAGATCAGAAAGAAAGAAGTAATTTTAATTGTATTTTTGTATAAAAATAGTTTTTGTTTATTCGAAATCTTTTTAGCTTTTTTTTTTTTTTTTTTTTTTTTTTTTTTTTTTTTTTTTTGTTTTTGTTTTTTTTTTTTTATATATATTTAACAGACTTACGGAGCATAGGAAAGTGTGAACACTGAACACAAATAAAGAAGAGTTTTTTATCTTGTTTTCTTTTTGGACAAACAAACATTTGACGAAACATGACGTATACGTAATATAAATATAAATATATATTAAATATTGAATACTGTGCAGATAACCCGATCTGTTTTTAATTATATAGTAACATAAAGTGCAGCTAACAAAGTGAGGCGAGTATAGAGAGAGAGAGAGAGAGAGAGAGAGAGAGAGAGATAGAGCTTATTTTATCCGCTTATTTAGGTGAATCCATTTCACGCGCTTACTGCTTAAACTCTTTAATGAGAGATTGAAGCTGATAAAGAGCATATTATGTTGTGCACTTGCTTTCGGTTTTGCCTGCCCTCCTCTTGCCATTCATCTGCTATAGATGTTCGCTTTATTTTCATCTATTTCACGTTCCCCATCTTAATTATCTTCTAGATTAGGTTCCACTTTTTTACGGCTTTGGCTTTGCCTTTGCTTTGGTTTGTTTCTCTTTCCTGCTTGATTGATATACTCTTTATCAGCTTCTGCGACTGTAGCAGCCGTGTCTTTCATTTCGGTTTCTCTTTAGCGTTCCATGGATTTTCTATTTTATAATGCTCCTTTTTATATTCTACGAGCTTAGCAGCAGCAGTAGCTTCTGCTGTGGTCTCTGCCTTTTCGCTCGCCTGGGACCCACTCTCTTTCCTCTTCACTTCTCCCCTTCATCTTTATGCGCATCATCTACTTCATCTTCTTCTATAGAAACCGCCTCTTCTTCTTCTTCTTTTTCTATAGAAATTGCTTCTTCTTCTTCTATGGCAGCTACCTCTTCTTCTTCAACAGCTTCTTTATTTATAGAAGGAGCACATTCTTCTTCTTCACCTTCATCTTCAGAAGTTATCTCTTGTTCTTCTTCTGTTAGAGAAGCTTCCTCTTTTTCTTCAACACCGTCTATATAAGCTGTCTCTTCTTCTTATTCTAGAGAAGCTACCTCTTCTTCTTCTATAGAATTAAGCTTTTTCTTCATCTTCTCTTACAAGCCATCTCTAACTATCTCTCTTTCTCTAATCTTCCGTTTGATCCTCATCTGTTTCATATGACTCATATTCCTCCTCCTCCTCCTCCTCAACATACTCCTCTTCATCCTCATCTTCCTGCTCAACAGCTGCTGCTTCTGCAATTGGCTCTGCCTTTACCTCTGCCTCAGCCTCATTTTCTTCATCCACCTCGTTCTCCTCCTCCTCCTCCTCCTCTTCCTCCTCCTCCTCATCATCTGTAATCTCTTCCTCTTCTTCCTCTTCCTCTTTTTCTACTTCCACTTTCACTTCCTCGTCCTCCTGCTTCTCCTCAATCTCCGGCTCTATATGCCTATCGCTTATGACATCCATATTGCATTCATTCTCTGACGCCTTCTCCATCAGCTCATTCTCTGGCGGCACAATATTTATCACCGGCATGCTCAGCTCTGGCTGCCCCTGCAGCTGCTCCTCCTCACTCTCCTCACTCTCACTGACTGTCACCTCTTCATACTCTGAGCTGGTCGCATTATCCACCTGCTCTGGCAGCTGCAGCTGCTGTTGTTCTGTCTGCTGCTGCTGCGGCTGTTGCTCTGTCTCACTCTCACTCTCACTCTCACTTTCAGTCTCAGTCTCAGCTTCGCTGCTGTCACTGCTGTCACTGGCTTCCTCTGCTGCTTCTTCTTCTTCTTCATCTTCCTCATCTGCTTCCTCATCTTCTTCATTTGTCTCATTCACACTTACCTCGGCTCGCGCTGTCGCCGTTGCTGTACGCACTGGAGATGCTGCTGCTGCTGCTGCTGCTGCCGTCGCTGCCTGATTGCTGCTGCTGCTGTCGCTCTCCTCGCTGCCGCCCAGGCCGCCTCGCTTCAACGCCGTCACACGCTCCGTATTGGGTCGCTGCTCGCCGCTCGTTTCCCCAGCCGTCGAGCTGCCCGCCGCACTCTTGCGCTTCTGGCGCGCCAGCTCATCTTCGTCGGCTGCTGCTGCTGCCGACTGTTGATTCTTTTGCTGCTGTCGCTGCATGGCGGCCTTCTGCGCTTGGATGGCTGCCTGAACGCACGCCTGAGCGGCATGCGCGGCTACATCCGATTTCTTCTCCTTCTTCTCCTTGCCAATCTCCGCCAGACGCTGCACCACGCGCGAGCAATCGCTGAGCCGTATTATGCCACTCAGCTGGCCGCGCGACACATCCTCGCTGTCCAGCACGCGATCCTTGCGCTTCTCAATCTCCTGCTGGCGCTGCTGCTGCTGCTGCTCGCTGTCCGAGTCGTCGTTCTGGTGCGAGCGCACGAAGCGCGAACGGAAACGTGAAGATTTCGTCCCGCGTCCCGCCGGCTCGTTCTCATAGTCGTTCTCGTAGTCGTACTCGGAGCGTCCATAACGGCTCTCGCCATAGCGATCGTTGTTGTTGGCGCTGCGCTGTGGCCGCTCGCCAAACTTTCGGCCCCCGAGCACGGGCTCATCGTTGTAGCCGCCTCGCTCCTCCTGCTGCCGGAACTGGGTGGCCAAGCGATGATCGCTCTTCGAGCGCATCAGTCCGGGCTGCAGGGCACTGGGCGGCGCCAGATGGGAGCTGCTCACCGAGCCGCTGGGCGTCGAGTGGGGCGCAATGTTCAGATCCCCAAAGGTGGCCAAATTCATCACCAACTGATTGGGATCGATGGACACAATGAAGCGCACCCGCCGGCTGTAATCGTTGTTCTCGTACTCAAAGTGACGCAAAAATTCGACCGTCTTCAGAAAGATCTCCTTGGTGTCCATCAGCTCACAATCGTCCCACTCGACCGTCTCGTTCATGTACTTGTCCACAATGTCGCAATTGCTGGTGATGTTGGTGATCTCCAGGTCCAGGTTCTCCTTGAGCGTGGTCAGATTGCGCAGCTCCACGGCCAAATAGCGATCGATTTCGCCCTTGAGTCCGTCGGTTCTGTCCTTTATGGCCTTCGTTATGCGCCTGTAGATCTCGTCGATCTCCTCTGTCACGCCAATCGCATTCGTCTGCAGACTCTGCGTGTTCTTCTCGATGATCGACAGCGAATCCTGCAATCGATGCAAACTGCGACGAATCTGTGAAGAGTCAGAATTGGAGGATAGGGTTTATTTTTGGGTCTAGTTTCTGTTCGACTCACCTGTGAATTGAAGCGGGTTATCTCACGTCGCAGTATGTCCATGTGCGCGCTCTTGCAGTCCTCGCAGATCTTTTTCTCGCAGTGCGCACAGTGGGAGAGATATGCCTTCTCGGAGCAAACGCCGCAGCGCTCCATGATTTGACCTGCAATGAAATAATGGAAATGGAATGTAAATGCTGAGCATTGATTGAGGTGGCAAGCAAAGCGTTTCATGGGATCTTATAAGTATGCAATGGAAGTGGAACGGTTGCTTATTACTATATATGTATGCATATACGATCTGGTATTTGAGTTGGAAGGTAATTCCCTTCTGTATCAGTCTATCTCTTTATCTCAATTCATTTCTTATAAACTTAGGCAGAGCAAATGAAGATAATGGAAAGAAACAGTGATAAAACGTAGGACAGTCTACTAACATTTATCTACCATAGAGTTGTATCTCGTAATAAGTAGAACCTGCTTGTGTAGGAACAGAGAATATGAAACATAGGAACTCTGCTTCTGTAAACGAATCGAAAGAACAGAGATAATGAAGTAGTTCACATAATTATAATCTCTCTGCCTCTTTCACCTAAGCTAACAGAAGGCAATTCGTTTACTTATAAAGGAATAATAGAAGTAAAACTCAACTCTATAAAATCTACAACATTTCACTACCAAAACGGTTCAATTTTTAGATAAGCTGAAATAGTTAAAACGACACAGCTGCTTGTAAGCTCTACTAGCTTAATTTTAAGTGTTTTGCAAAGAAACAATTGAAATGAATCACCGAAGAAACTGAACAACAAGACTTCACTGTCGAATCGCATCAATATAATGTGAGCAGGAACAGCTCGAATTGACACACTTCAGAGTAATTTGATTTCGCCCACAATCATATTTCCAGTACAAAACGTTTCATATCGAATGCAATTTAAGCAAATGCAATGCCGCTTATCAAATGCCAACTCCGGAACGTTTCAGCTGCTGTCGGCGCAATCATTTGCCAATGCGCTTAGCAATTGAAATTCCACTTGTTTTCAATCGAATCGCATTCCTTTTATCAACTTGTTTGGCCTTGTTGCCGCCAAAATATTTCGACTTGTCGCTAAATGCTAAGTTACTGCAGTGGCAGCAGGAGTAGCAGCAGGAGTGGTAGCAGGAGTAGCAGCAGCAGCAGTATCTGTTGCCGTTGCACTTGCTGTAAACAGGCCGCCAACCCATCAATTTGCACCATTGGCAGTTGGCAACAGGGCAACTGTTTTTTTTTTTTTCATTTTCCATTTTCCATTTCTTTTTCTCTATTTCTCTTGTATCTTGACTGCATTTGCTGTAACAGTGCGAGAGTCAATGAGGGCGGCCATTGCTGGGCGCTAATGCGATTTCAAGAGTGTCGCCAAAATGCTAAAAATCAACTGAATCTAAACGCAGCGCCGTCGACAACAACAACTCCTGGCTCTTACGAGATGTTTATGCGTCCGTTTGCCAAGGCATATCCTGCCAGCGCATGCCGATGTCTTGGCTATGTGTACATACATATATATATGCATAATGCAAATAACGAGCTGTCGGGCCCCAACGACATGAACCTCGAATAGTGTCCCACTGGAGCACCACACCCTTTCTCTCACATGTCCTGCTCCTAACGCCTCTCTCTCTCTCTCTCTCTCTCTATCGCCCTCAACAATGCAAACATTTCACAGTGTCTCAGTCACAGTATAACAAATCGCAGTCGCAGTCGCAGTCACAGTCGCAGTCACATTCACAGGCGAGCTATGTAAACTTTTGTGCATCAATTGTTGGCCTCACTCCTGGACCCACTCCTGGCCCCGCTCCTGCTCCCCTTCATCACTGGCATAACCATTGGCATTGGCATTGCCTGATGAACTTGCCTCAGCTACCAATAGTTAGGGCTCTGCTCACTCCCCTTGCCATGACAATAAGCTCACCAAGTACACAAGCACACACTCACACACACACACACACAAGCTCGCTTTGCTTGCTCTGCACCAATAGTTGGCTGTATTTTCTTGTGTAATCATATGGAAAAGTGAATTTGCAAATACTACATGCGATTGCGAGTCCTTGTATCATCGCATTCAGTTATCCATAACAGCGCGGCTTGAAAGGATTTGCCCAAAAATCAGCTCAAGGAGCAACTTTTCTTTCCACACACACACACACACACACACACACACACACACATTTGCATAGCAATTGTCAAAAATAAAAAATAAAGAGAGTCAAATACTCGAAGCTTTGTCTGCTTATTAACTACCTACCACTGATTGCAGCTCTGTGAATACTTTTCAACTACATATACATACAATTGTATGTATGTATGTATGTATGTGTTTGTAGTACTTATAATACTCATGCATAACACTCATTCCATTCCATGGCATTCATAATAGTCAAAGGCACTTTCTTTCAACACTTATTTGCATTTTGCTGATGAGAATTGCCGGTTTGTCGCTTTGTCGCATTGTCGCTCTGTCGCTTTGTCTCTTTGTCGATTCTGTGTCGCTTCTGTTTGTCCTTTGCAATTTGTCGCCGACTATCAAGTTTCAAGTTATTTGCATAGTCATGGCTACCAACCTGATCCAGCAATATGGCCACAATGCAAATGATTTAAAACAAGAAAGTATTCTCGAAATGTGACAAAATGTCGAAGATTAAATACCCTAACAAAAAAATATGATATATATTTGAGTGAGATAGACCAAAGTTTTGTATTAGAAAACTAATTCAAATATTCCAAAAGGAAAGATAGATATAGTTTCAAGATATAAAAAATTTATATTTTTAGATTTATAATTTTTTTTATTTGAATTTATAGATTTTCATCTGAATTTTTAATGGCAAATTTGAAATATGAATTATTATCAGAGTTTCGTATAGATAATCTATTATAATAAAAAATATTCATATATAATTATATAAACCTTAGCTACACCAACGATAACCAATAAGTTTTCAACTCAAACTAAATGACAAATCAAATATACCCACACAGCAATACCCTCACTCAATAAAAATTTCAAACACACACAAAAAATGAACCAAAATCAATTTGCTTTTGCTTAGTTTTAATTGCGAGCGAGGTATTCGATGAGTGGAGTGGGTGGAGGGCGGTTTGAAAGGGGCGTGGGCTGATTTGTAAAATACACAAAGCGCTTGATTTTTAATTGGAAACCAAATATTATGGCCGTGGCATTTGCTTTATATTCGTCACACTTTTTTATGCTCTTTGTTTTTAGGATATTTTAGGAATTTAATTAAAGTTAGACAGAGAGCAGAATTTATTAACAAATTATCAAAAGGCCACAAAAACAAAAAAGTAAATAAAATATTATAGATTAATTAAAATAAATAGAAAAAGAAATTGCTTTCACAAAGTGCTTTTATGAGAAGAGCAAATATTATACAAAAATAGTTTGGCCATATTTTAGCTGCAAATTCTTGTTGCCTTTGGGCATAAAAAGCAACGCAGCGTAAACAATTTTAAATGGCAAATTGCAAATTGCAATTTTTCATTTTCCAATGCACAGAAATTTTAATTTGTGATAGACGGACAAACGGACCAAAAAGCGACGCCAGACAGACGTCAGGGATGCGCTGTACGCTTTATGCTTTACCCTTTATGCTTTATGCTTTGTTCGCGCCCTTTCAGTGAAATAACTCGTTAAATTCCAATGTAATGCTGTGCTTTACGCTGCGGGCGACCAATGAAGAGGGAGACATTGGATTACTTACCTGAGGTGGGATCTGGCAATTCGCCGGTGATTTCGATATGCAGCTCCAGGAAACGCTGCAGCGTAACATTCGTGGGAAAGGCCTGGACGCCATTGTAGGGTATACGATGTTCGGCACGGCATTCGGGGCATTTGACCTGCAATCAGTGCAATCAGACGTGAGTAAAGGCAATTACAGGTTCATCAAACGATGCAGTGAATACGCATTTTACACCTCAACAACTCAACAATATAGTTGTGCGTGCTATACACAGTACAATATGAACTTGCACATGCACACACTACTACTAATACACGCATACGGTGCATTTAAGCACGTCTCTTACATGCTTACGCTTGATCTACACCGACTCTCTCTTGCACATGAGTTTGTTATTACGTTTGTATGCGTGAGAGCAGCAGCTCTAGGCTTGAGCAGTTTGCCTATTACATGCGTAGGTGTGAGGGAGATAAAACTATATTTGCGGCGGTCAAGTAAAGAAGAATTGAAAGAGAGCAGTGAGCATAAACTTCGCCTTCGCCTTGACTGAGCGTGTATACATATGCATTACTCTCACTCAATACATATACAGAAATAAATATGTACATGCATTCGTACACACACGTGTGCGAGGATAATCATTGTAGTTGTCAAGTTAATCAGAAAAAATGAGCGCAAATTCGCAAAATGGGAGATGCTTTGGCGTGTAACTTAATGCATGTGTGAGAGCGCGATAGAGCGTCTTGAGAGGATTCAAGTAAAGAATTGAAAGAGCGCAGCGAATTAAGAGAACGGGAGCTGCTTAGCAACTGGCCTTGACTCAGTGTAATTATGTATTTATGTTACTAGACACACAGATGTGTGTGAGCGACACAGAGCAATGTTCACATTGCCTTAGCTTATTATGAAAGAGTACTTGTATAATTAGGCATGTAACTTAATATATATTTCTGCATATGAATAAAAATGTATGCATATTTTAACATACATATTTAAATTTTGTAACACGCTTTAAAAACCCACACATCTAATGAAATTACGACAGTGCAGGCATCTTGAGCGTGTGTCACCTTCGTCTCTGTCTATGTTTTTGTTATTTTCGCCCAGCCCTACAGTGTTGGCAAATCTATAGGGCCTGGCCGTGCTATAGACATGACAGTTATTTGTTTAGTTGTTTGTCGAGGCTTTTGGCCAGCAGTGTATCCCATACAATGGACATGCTTAGCAATTATTTGCGTGGCGCTGGCGTAAAGCCAAAAGAAATTTATAAATACGCGCGCACACTAACACACTTACACATACAGTAGGCGTCTATAAGTAGCGCAGTAGACACATATTCCATTATATGCATATACATGCATACATACACATAAATATGCATATATATATATACATATAGATAAGTATGGCTGCTTTATATGTAAATTTTATAATTTTTCAGCAGCCAACGCAAAGCAAATCTACGCAAATGCGCCGCAAGCAACAAAAACCGAAATTACGTTGAAAGAAAAACAAAAAGAAAACTCAACTCATTTCCACAATGTGAAGTCTGCGTTTTTTTCACATTTTTTTTTTTTTTTGGATTTGGACAACGAAAATGTTGTTTTCATTTGCCCCATTGCGATTCTTTGGGGGCTTTTGCCGTACGATTTATTAAGCAGCTTTTGGCGTGTGACGTAGAGCGCTCAACGAATTCGCCGCATTTAACAAAATTGCCTCACACATGAGCATACACACGCACACACACACAAACACACTCACACTAATACACCCATGTGTACACATGGCTTATGCATTCGACTGTGATTATGATTTATGGACTTTTGTGCGTGTGTTTCTGGTATATATATAAGTGTGTGCGTGTGTGTGTGTATGCGTTTGTACATACATACAGAGTTAATGTGACAAATATTCTTACCTGGCGTCTCACATAGTCCACCAAACCCTCCATGCAGGGCTCCATGCAAAAGGAGTGCTGGCATGGCAAAAGCTTTGGTATGCGATACCTGTCCAAACACACGCAGCACGTCAACAACTGTTCGAATTGCTCCATGGTTCACTGCAAAAGAGAGAGAAAAATATAGTGTAAGTGAGAGAAAGAGAGAGAGAGAGAGAGAGAGAGAGAGAGTGTGTGTGAGTGAATGCAATCAGACATCATTAGTCTTGATTTGATTAGAGACAAAGTCCTGTCAATTTGATATTCATATCATTATAAATTCGCGTGCACCGCCTTGCCGCTAAGCTCATCATAAGATGGCTCCCAAATCGGATTGCGACATTACGAGCCCCCACTTTTGAATAAGCACAAAACAACAGAATGCCATCAAGTGTGGCAATGGGGCTTAACTGACTAGCTAATACGCGCTTCAAGTAGATTAAGTGAATTTAAATTTCGTGCTAAGGGAATTATGGAATTTCTCTAATTTATTAATACTTTTTGATACAATTTATTTATTATATTAGGCTGTACTAAATTTATATATATATTTTTTTTTAATATTTAAATTTAAACTATGTATATATAATTATTGAATACATTTATATTCAAATAAATTTAAATAAATTAAATAAAATCAAATATAAATACAGTTTAGTGTAATTTAAAAAATATAAATAGACATACAATATAAAATTATAAAATATAATTATAAATATATATACATAGTTAAAAATAAATAAATAAAAAAAATAACAAAGAAAAAGCTGTTCCTATTTTCACTTTTTATTTATTATTATCTATAGATGTATAGACGTATGTAAACAAATCAAAACTTCGCTCCATCAACTACCGTTTCATGCAAGCAAATTCTATTTTTCTAACCCTTAAATCAAAGCAGACAATCTAATACACAGCTATACTAAAATTTCAATCCGCTCACTTCCATAAAAGTCGACTATCCCACACAAAAGCCAATATACTTGGCCCAAACACCTAACGAACGAGCACAAAAACAAAGCGAAACAAAACATATAAAGAAGAAGAAGAAGACGAGGAGGAGCAGGCATCACCGTAAATTGACCATTTCTGAGCCATTGTCGTAAATCGCGAGCCTCTGCTTCAGTTGGGCTACAACGGCATCAGCTACGCCCACCGTCCCCCTCCATCTTCATTTGTCCTTGGCAAATATTCTAAGCCACAAATCTGCTTATGGCTGGCTTCATTAAAAGCGGTTTATTTAAAAGAACTCAATACGGCAAATAAAAAAAAAATGAGCCAAGTTAATGTAAATAAAAACGGCCTACGGGACATACTAATGTAGATATATATATAGATATATACATATACAGATATACATATATATAGGCAGCATATATAGATCTCTCTTAATTGGCAATAACTTGGCCTAATTACGAGTGCAGTTGAGCGTTTGCCTTGCGCTCCGTTCGCCATTTTGATGTGGCTTCCGATGTCAATTAATGCACCACAAATATGTGCAATTGCAGTTGATGTGAAATATTGAAATTGATATTACATCTGAGAGGCAGCGGAGCTGAATTTCAGCTAGTCAAAGCGTTCATAGTGAAACAAAGTGCAAAATGCAATTCAATTGAATCAATTAAATTGTAATTAAATTATTATTACTGGCTTTATTAAATTATAATATTTGTTTATTTACTTTTTTGTACCAGTGATTTTTTTTTTATTTGCAACTATAATTAATGTAAATATTTTCATATAATAATTTGTATTTGCATGCAATTTTTTTTAGTAATTTTTTTATTATTTATTATATTGCATAGTAATTCTTTAATATTTATTATTATTTTTAATATTCATTATTATTTGCATTTTATTATTTATCATTATTGGATCACCATTCTCACTATCTTAAAAAATATTTTTTTATTATACAATTATTTTTATTATAATTAAGTCAATATCATTTTCATTGGCATAATAATCAATTATAAAATTGCATTAAATAATATAGTTTTAATTAGCATTAGCTATATATTTTTATTAATTGCATTGCCACTCTCATTATGTTAAAAAAAAAAAAAAAATTGTATACACATAATTATTTTAATTATAATTAGCTCATTAAATGATATAAATAGCTTTAATTAGCATTAGCTATATGATTACCACAGTATTAAAATTTTAATAATTCATTGAATTCTTTTTATTAGCATTAGCATAATTATTACCACAATCTATAACCTGTATTTTTAGTGATTTATTTTATTTTATTTTATTATTAAATTTATTATTTATTATTTAGGAAAAAAAGTGAAATAAATAATTTCCACTCTTTATCCTTACTATTTTGCAAAAATGCATTGTAATTTTTATTAGTATAAGCATTATCATTATTATGACTCATACAATTACTTTCTATCATCAAAGTTTACATCATTGGAGCCAACTTTGTGCATTAAAGTGCATATCAAATGCAAACTGTAAAAGTAATGGCATCATCATAATCACAATGATAAGACGAATATTGAGGCGAATTCCGCATTGGCATTAAATTTGGCGCTGTTCCGCAGATTTCCGCAATTCACGCGCAAAAAGCCAACTCGCGTAGGTTTTTGGCAAAGTAATTTCGAGCCAGTTGCCTTCGCGTTCGTTCACAAAAAATTTTTCTTATTTTCCTGGCCGAAAATAAGCGGCAAATGCGCAGCTTTTAATAATAAAAATGACACAGATTTTCCCATGAAGCACACACACACACACACACACACATACATGAAAATATTTCTCAATGTGATGTGGGCACTATAGAGAGGCATATATACACACCGACACATACATACACACATACATACATACCTACATATATACGCGTGCATATGAAATGCAATTTTTTCGCCCTCGTCAGGCATATTGCGTATACGCCACGTCAGCACACGGCTGCACATTGCACCCGGCCAACGGCCACGCCTCCCTCCACCCTCTCACTTCCTCCTGCCCCACCAATAAATAAACACATCGAGGTGCACCACAAAATTGTCGTGCCGCCTGCTGCCAATTAAATCAGTGTGCAAAATTATATTTAAAGCGTTGCTTAAATTGCGGCCAAAAGTTCACATTGTATTGCAGCACGCCCAGACCATCAGGAGTCACAAAAAAAAAAAACCATTGCATAGAAGAAGAAGAAATTCGCATGCGAATAGCGTGCAATTAAGTGGAAAATGCGCTTAAAATCAAATTGAATAGAAATTTTGTCGCCCGCTCAAATTGTGCGTACTATAAACCAGTTGCAGGCGTACCAGAAGGTGGGCCAGTGGGCGTGGCACATACATATATGTGCATCTCCCTCTCCCTCATTCGCTCTCACTAATTTTGCAATTGCAATCTTTGGATCTGGGCACCAAAAAGGATTAAAATGGAACTCATGCACTCGCATAATAGAAACTGCCTTAAAACCCATAGCCAGTGCCACGCCCACACACACACACACACACGCACACTGTGCTAGTTGAAATTTTGAATGTTTGCTGAAGAGCTGGAGACTTTTGAAAAGTGGGCGGGCCACTGGGCTGGCGCTGGCACTTCAAAGCACATTCAATGCACAATTCGAATGGCCATTCAAGAGCATCAAGGAGCGAGTGAGAGAGACATAGAGAGACAGAGAGGGGCTACAGCCTGGCAGTTAAGTTATTTAGGAGCGTGCTTTGTGTGCAATGGACAGTGCTTGAATTTAACAATTACATATAAATAAATACATTAAAAACAATATACATACATACATACATGTAAATGCTGCAAATCGCAGTGAAATTGCTTTTTTTATTGCTTTGCAATTGCGTCGAGCTAAAAGGCGAAAGCTCTAAATGTAGAGCTGTCGCTATAACTAGGTTTATGTATGCTTACAAAAGCTGTGCCTTAAGTGGAGCGAGTTGAATTTGTTAAAGTCATATTGAAAGCGAGTTAAGAGAAGACAAGAGAAGGCTAACTTTAAATAAATATTTTATATACATTATATTCATAATTTTCTCTTCATTATATTTGAATATATAAATATTTTATATACATTATATTCATAATTTTTTCTTCATTATATTTGAGTAAATAAATATTTCATATACATTATATTCATAACTTTTTCTTCATTAAGGTTGTCTTTCAAGTGGAAGTCCTAGTTTATATTCATATTAAAAATATATTCAAAAAAAAATTTAGCGTAATTTTTTAATAAAAACATAAGTATATATTTATTGGTACTATGTATTAATTATTATTATTTTTTTTTATAATTTTTTTTATTTTTATTTTTTTATTTTTTTTTTTTTTTTTTTTTTTTTTT